TTCTTAAAATTATGAATATTGATTGTTCAGAGCCTAAAGCTAAAACGGGGACGGCAACGGTGTTCTTAAGTTTATGATGATATATAAAAAAGAGAAGATAACGCTTCTATTGATTTGAAAACCATGTGAAATGAATATAACATAGTGAATTATACAGACATTTTTGGCTTCTGTATATTTTATGATTTTGAATAAAAATAAATTTCATTTTTGACAAACTAGCGCCCCCGCCGCCACGAAAAAAAAGAACATTTCAGAAAAGAAAAAAAAAGCCCACCGCTGTCTTGAAATCTCCAAAAATAAAATATGTATTCCTTCTTAATTAATTAAATTTAAAGTATTTTACCATCCATCCCATTAATACAATGTTTACATTCAACAATAACATTTTATTTTTATTTTCTCCTTCTTTTTGACAAAACCATTTGCTAAATAAGAATTTTGTTTGCCTTCTGACCATTAAAATAAGTTGGTGAAACAAAGTATAAAAGTCTCACCTTCACCACTGAGTTCAAATGAAGAATTTTAACTCTCTCAACTACAAATTCACCTTACAACTGAGTTCAGGTGAAGAATTTCAACTCTCTCAACTACAAATTTTGAGAATTTTAAAATCTTTTTCTCTGTATTTTGGAGTTTAATCTTTCCAAGCCTTTATCTTTTCCTGTTTTCCGTTTAAATGTTTTTTTAAGTGATAAAGAAAAAATAATAATTTGTGAAAAAATAACTTGGGGGTACTTTTTTTTTTAAACGTTTTTAGGAATACAGTATACCGATTGAACACCTTGTGGTCCGGGACAGTGGAAACCAATTTTATGCTAATGATGTACAATTGAAATTTGTCCGTATTGACCCATTCGTCCGCACATCCCTTAAAAGCAAAGTATGTAATAAATAGACCTATATAGCTAAGATATTTAAGAATAAAGTGTAATTTAGTAACAAATATAATGATACAAAAGTGGAAGTATATGAGCTAAAGCTATCAACTTTTCTTTCACAAAAAGAAGCTATTGTATGCCTATGCCAGTCATGATGCCTATACGCTCTTTTTCTGGGGTCTATTTTGAAACAGCGCCACCAATGTCTCGCAACTTTTTTGTACAGCAGCCTTACCTGAGCAAATTTCGTTTATCCAGACACAAATCTTCTTTTGAGTAATTCGACAAACAAAAACACTGCAGGTTTTACGCGCTCTTATTTTCTGTTTTGTTCGTTTTAACATTTTGTTTTTAAAGACTAGCCTAGGATACTGTACCCGAATTTACTTACTTTTTAATATATATACATGAAATGTTTTTTCTTTGTCAGAATAAATGTAAATTGTAAAGATGAGCTAGTTGCCATAAAAAAAAATTAGCTCTACATTTTGTCTAAATTATAATGTATTTGATTTGATTTATTATATTCCACAAAGAACTTTACATTAAATGAGCAAGCATTAAAAATACAAAGTACAAGTTAAAATTAACTAATTGAACCTGGATAACCAAATGAAGTTTTAAATAAATGTAAAATTTATTTTCCATTTCGGTCCATAACAAGAAGTAAACTAAAACAAGTATATATA